TAAGGCGAAAAAAGGGTGTGGCGGGACGAGTTCTCTTTTGTTGACAAGCTATTTCTCCTTATCACCTCACTCTCTCCTTTCGAAATGGAGATAGTGGTAGCGAAACAATCCTATCAGCAGTTAAAAATGAAAACTTGGGTGTCGCCGCGGCTATAGGGCGGAGTCGTCCCATCGCGGACGGGCAGGGCATTCCTCACGTATTTCAGAGCTGCGAAAGAAGTTCATACTAGAAGAAACGCCTGCAGGCAAGACCACCATGTCCAAGGAAGGGGCCTAAATATCGGATGAAAGGGGGACGTGCCTTCAAGTTGCTTGTTCGTGTGTATGTGTGTATGTGGTTGCTTTACCGAGCACGTGAATTTCTTTTGATTAAGACGTAAAGACTCTAAATTGAATAAGTGATGAAGGGAATGTTAATGGAATATGTACGATTGTAGATAGAACATGATAGCGACTGATACGAGCTCATAAACGGTGTTGAAAGAAAGCGCCAGTAATCCCATAGTATCACAGCATCATTGGGCCGTTGGTTTCAGCAAGTGATATAGGGAATGGCCTAGGCATACTGACTACAGTTGATAGGAACTAGTAAGTGCTGAAAAAGAACTGATGGGAGGCGTTGAAAAAGATGCATCGCCAACTTTATAACGCGCATCACAGCAGCAGTGGGACGCAACGAGCTGTACAGGGAATAGGATAAGGGTATTGAAGAACAATCTTTTTAGCTCCAGCAGCAGGGCACATCATTGGTTGGGGATTTCAAGTCGAGTCTGTACGGTTGGTACGACCCCCCTCCTCCGGCCCTCTGTCCCTCAGTCGTCGAGCGGAGGCGGGGGGGGGGGGGTGGGTTAAATAGCTCAAGTGAGACAGGAAAAGCCGCGAAACAATACGACCCTCCCCCCAACTTCCTGCCACTTTTTCCAAAACTTCCCGAAAAGTTCCCCTTTTTCCTTAAATTTTGCTGTCGAGTCGAGCGGGAGGGGGGTATAGTACGCATGAAACAGGAAAATCACAAAAAGTCAACCACCGCTCCTACAACGCCAAAACGTAAATACGACCCCCCCCTCCCAACAATGACCAAGTACGACCCCCCCCCCCAACGTCCGTGAAGTGAAAAATCAACTATCAAAATAAATTCTCCCCAGCCTAAATACGACCCCCTCTCCTAGCGGCCAAAAACGACCCCCCCCTATTGGGATTCCCCAACAATGATGTGCCCTGACCAGTAGCGATGACCAGAGGCTCAGTTAGTGAACATATTTAATATAGTATCGCGGTCGAATAAGGCTTGATTCTATTTCCTTTCCGAATAGAATCAAACCTTATTCGACCGCGATACTATATTACTTCCAAGGTAGTGTCTGTTTTGTGGATTCAGTGGTATGAGTCCAGATAAACTGACAAGATCGTAAACAAAAACGATTAC